TACAGGATGCTGCCAGAGAGCAGTGCTGGCTAAGACAGCCTTACCCAGGGGAGCTTCCTAGAGCAAGAGATGGGCTAGCTGAGCCCAGAAAGAGAGAGGGCCACTTATGGGCCCAGCAAGGGAAAGCCTGGCCTCTCGGGGCTGCACAGGGCGTGAGGGCTGGTGAGAGAAGGAAGGTGTGTAAGGATGGGGAGCTAAGGTTTGATTGAAGAGCAATAGGAAACCAAGGGCAAGTTTGAAGCCAGAAGTGATCATATCAGACTGATCTTTCTTTCTTTCATTGGCCGCTTGTGAGCTCAGATCTGAATCTGCAGCCCAGTGCCAGCGACTATGGAAGGCCATCAGCGTGCAGTTTAGAGACCCATTTCCCCTTCCTTCATCCTCTTAATTCCTCTGCCCCAGCGTCCTCATTTAACAACCCTGATTGTGCTCTTGAGTCTCTGTGAGCCCCACCAAATGTAAATAAACAAAACACATTGGCAGACTTACTCTCAGAACAGACCCGAGTTACACATTTTTATCCCCATCTTACAGAGAAGGAAACTGAAGCTCAGAGACATTGAGTGACCTGCCCACCGTCTTAGAGTCATTTCATTGATGACTGAAGCTTGTCCAATGTTCCTTTCCCCAACTGACTGTAACATAACAAGAGCAGAACCCCTGTCCGCTGCGGCCATAGGAGTGTGTCCCACCTCAGACTCAGGAGGCCAGGTCAGCGCAGCAGAATCGCTGACCAACCAACCCACCTGGCTGCTAACTCTTGGAACCAGACTGCCCAATCCCAGACTCACCACCCTCCTCTCCACCACACTATCTGCTCCCCGTCTGCCTTGGCTTCCTGTCCACCGTGGGCTTAGCCTCTTTCCTGCCTCCCACATCCATCATTTAACTTTCAAGTTCCACAGATAACTAAAGCTGGGCTAGCACTTGATTGCCTTTGGAAGTAGACTTTTAGGACTGGAAGAAACCTGAGCGGAGTGATGATTCTGATCTGACCAACTCATTTTACGGTGAACGAACTCAGTCACACAGCTGGTTACCAGCAAGGTCTGGACTCCACAGTGGACCAACATTTCTCATATACCTTCAAAATGTCCTGTAAGGTGTTCACTGGGTCACTTTGTTAATTGACAGAACTGAATAGTAAATTTTAATTTGGTTTTCTCATAAACCAAAACTGATTGATACATCTGGATACAGACCTGGCGAGGCCTTACTTTTTAAAGAGGTTTTAAACTATAACACATAACCACCTTTTGGCCCCAGGAGTAGAACGTGACAGCGGTCCTACCTGCCGGTGGATCCAGCGGTCCTCAGGCTTTTCCCTGTCCACCTGCAGCACTCTCCCTGGGCGTCTCATGCATCATGAGACCCCAACCATGAAGGGCCCCAAATAGCCATAGCAATAGCTAACATGCATTGAGCACTCCCGGAGCCACAAACCAACGGCCACCTGCAGAGGAGAGTCTCAAGCACAGGGAGATAATATAAATTCCCCAAGGTCACAACTAGTAGCACTGGGCTGGCCCAAGTTCCCTGGCTCTGCATTAGGCCCCTTTACTAGGACAATATGGTCTGTGTAAAGCCCAGCTCTGGCTCAGAGTTCTCCCTCCCCAGCTCCACATCCCAATGACTAAGTCCCTCCTGCCCCCACCCCAGGCTTTCCCAATACCAACTCAAAACTGAACTCAGCTCCTTGTCCCCAAACATGGAGGTTGCCTGGCACAGCCTCAGTCATGGCTGATCCTCCCCTCCTCTCCTCTCCTCATCCATCACATCCTACGTTTTATTCCTAAAAGGCCACAGTTTTCCCAGTGCTCTTGGCATGGCCCAGCCTGAGGTCCCCAACCCACCTTGCCCACACATATCAACACCAGATTTCTCCAGGTGAGTCTGATCGCTTGCCATCAGCCTGCTCACCTCCCTTGGTGGTTCACCTTGTTGGCCTGTTCTAGGGTAAGCAGATTTGGTATTGGCTGCAAGACCCAGTTCCCAGATCAGGCTGTCCTGTTTCCCAAGGCTCTGCTCTGACAACCCTCTTCCTTCTGCATTTTTTCTAGATTATAGTTGTTTACTTTTCTGTTTCCTCCCAGTCAGCAGCAGGTATTTTCTGACATTCAGAGCTACATAGTATATAGAACAGATAAAGAACTCACTACTTATAGGTAGACAGGTGGAGTGAAGGGAGGAACAAGTGGCATTGTGATCCTTGATGTCATGTGTCCACTAGACTAGGCCAAGAGACGCCAGAGAGCTGGTAAAACTGTATTTCTGGGGGTTGGGGTTGTGGCTCAGTGGTAGAGTACCTGCCTAGTGCATGTAAGGCCCTGGGTTCGATCCTCAGCACCACATAAAAATAAATAAATAAAAGTATTGTGTCCAACTACAACTAAGGAAAAAAAAAAACAACTTTATTTCTGGGTGTGCCTGCGGGGATCCTTCTGCAAGAGGTTAGCATTTGAACTGGGGAACTGAGAAAAGCTGATAGTCCTCCCACAGGCTGGCAGACATCATCCAATCCTCTGACAGCTGGAGTAGAACAAAAAAGCAGAGGAAGAAAGAATTCTCTCCCTTCTCTTTAGGGGGTATCCGTTTTCTCCCACCCCGAGACATCAGAGCTCCTGGTCCTCAGGCTTTTGGACTTGCCCTGAATCACGCCACCAGCTTTCCTGGATCTCCAGCCTGTACCTCTGGGCCTCCATGATTGTTTAAGCCAATTCCCCTGGTAAATCCCCTCTTAGAGATCTCTGTTTCTCCTCCTGGGTGTGTTTATCTGGAGAATCCTAATATATGCATAAAAACTTGCCAATCAAGGTTAGCTCCATACACATCAAACGGGCTTACTCCTGGGGGGCTTCAGCCCTGCCTAACCATCTGCACTCACCCCCCTTTGTGAGTTCTTTGCTGTGCCCGTGGCACCCCTCCTGGACCATCTCCACCCTCATGGAAGGGGAGGGGTGTTCTGCCTCCCAGCCCCACCCCATGGCCCCCTCCGCTGAGCCCAGGGCATGGGTTCCTCCCCCAACCTGCCCATCCATCTCATCTAAAGGGGCTCTTTTAGCCAAATTGGGAAAAATAATTGGAATCTGCCTGTTCTTAGTTGGGCAGGAGGGCCGCAACAGTCCTAGAGGGAGCCACAAACAGTTTGCTCTCTCTCATGAGAGAGCAATATTAAAAAATATTTGTGGAGTGAAGGCATGAAGGTACTATAAATATTTACACTTGAGATTCAATCAGTCTCTGAAAGAAAAGGTTTGTAAGGCCAAAGCAAAGCATCAGGAATTCCAGACATGCTAAGTTGGCAGATTCCAGAGGCTACATTCTCAGCAACTCGGGCCTGAGTTCCTCGTCTGGATTTCTCTGGACCCTGCTGACCGCCACTTAGAAGACCCGTCACCCCTGCTTCTTCCAGGTTTGAAGGTGGAGGTGAGCGCTCTGGTGTGGGGAAGGGGCCCCCGCAGTCAGCTGTCCATAAGCCCAGGAGACACCCGCCACTCCCTTGCCAGCCACCCAGGAATAATGGCAGCCTGGGATGAGCTCCCATAATTCACTGGGAGTGTGGGGCTGGGTGTAGACCCTGCTTAAAAACCAGGCTTCCTGCTGCTACCTAGGGGAGGGCCACAAGGTGACTTCCCCTCCAGACCTTCCCTTGATGCCCTTTCTTTTTCCTTCTTTCTCCTCCCTGCCTTCCTTCTTTCCTTCCCTCCTTCCTTCCTCCCCCCTCCTCTCTCTTTCTTCTTTTTTGTTTTCTAAACTGTCCTCCTCGAATTCACACTGTTAAGAAATAGATGTGTGAATTGAGCTGGAATATCATGGAGAAATGATTTTTTTTTTTTTGAAACAAATGCAGCTGTCCCTCTTTCAGACACAAGTTTACCATTTATGTTCTTGAAAATAATCTATGTTGCTAAATTATACATGTTCCCTGAAAGAACTTTAGAGAACTTAGAAAACAACTCCCAGCAACAGCCTCCCGTGGAGGGGACCACTGTTACCATTTGTGCAGGTGCAGTGGGCTTTGTTTCTGAGTATGTTTCAGCTTTCCAATTCGCTCTAGTACGGTAGATAATAGACTTCTGGACCCTGGAAACCTTTGGTTTTGCTCTTTTTTGCAATATATTGTGAGTGATTTGTTTACTGATTATTTTTAGTTGGTTTTCATTTTGTTTAAAACGCCGATTAATATTTTGTGCACATATTGTTTTGATAAACAAAATGATTTTCTGAAGAAAAACCTTTGGCAGCAGGGTTACTACACGGAAGCATAAGTGCAGATTGAAGGCTTGGGGTCCACGTTGCCAAACTGCCCTGCAGAAATGCTGAGCCCAATGCAGAAATGCCACTGTGTTTCCAAACATTTCTCACCAATTCTCTGTTTTGTTGTTGTTCCTTTGCCTCATTTCCAAATTGATACACAACCCAGAGGACAAAAGGATGAACAAAATCCTTCAGCTGCTGGCTTAGTGGTGCAGCCTATAATCACAGCAGGGAGGCTGAGACAGGAGGAACATGAGTTCAAAGCCAGCTTCAGCCATTTAGTGAGATCCTGTGTCTAAATAAAATACAAAAAGGGCTGGGGATGTGGCCCAGTGGCGGAGTGCCCCTGAGTTCAATCCTTGGTACCAAAAAAAAAAAAAAAAAAAAAAAAAAATCCTTCAGCTGACTGCTGGTAGCTCAAGGTATTTACTCTTGGAGTTTCCTTGAGTTCTTGACAATGGGAGAGAGGCCTGCTTCTCATCAACCAAGTCAGGAGCCTACCCAACCTGTCAGAGCGTCTGAGCCCAGTGGTTTTTCTGGAGGCAAATCCCATATGGTCTCAGGCAAAGCAGAACAATGTCTCCCCCATTTCCTCCCGTATCTGATGGGCCAGAATGATCCTGAGCTCCAGCAACTTGATTTCCTCCACTGATCTGCCTGGGATGATTCTGCTGTAGGCTCAGAAGGGACCAGTCTCAGGTGTGTCAATTCCCCGGTGACCATGGCCTTTGCAATCAGATCAGGGGAGGATGCTGAGGAAGGACCGTGCAGAAGTTCATGGCGGGTTCAGTGGCTACATCGAGAATCCACACTTTGAACTCACCGATCTCTGATCGTCACTTGGCATCTCCTTCAATAACCATGGCAGGCAACAAACCTTTGTAGCGTCATCAGTTTCTGTGACTTTATTATTGGTAGAAATCGTAGCTACTTTCACATCTGTTATGATTGTGCCTGGTATTTTAAAAAGTCCTTAGGCTCATCGCTGGTTTGAAATTACAGTGATCATTGAAGCTTGCTAATAAATCTTGTTATGAGTGTGGTAATACATGAGCATACCTATGACCATAGAAAATTTTAAAAAAATATTCTGATAATCGTATTTTAGCATAAACATTTTCTTTGTAATCCCATATACATTTAAAACTTTCTTCTGAGAGGAGTTCTTCAGACTTTTACCAGATGCCAAAGGAGTCCAAGGTGCGCGCACGTGCACGTGCACATACACACAAACACACATACAAAAGATCAAAACCTTGGAAAAGAAAGCTAAAATTATTTGGGGCTTTGCAGATGAGCCAAACCTTCTGGGTTTTAGTTTTGGTATTGAGGATTAAACTTGGGGGTACCTACTCTACCACTGAGCTATATCTCCAGTCTTTTACTTTTTATTTTAGACAGGGTGTCACTAAATTGCTTAGGGCCTCCCTCAGTCACAGAGGCTGGCCTCAAACTTGTGATCCTCCTGAATCAGCCTCCTGAGTCACTGGAATTACAAGTTTGTGCCACCACACTAGACACAAAAGCTCTGTTTTCTAATCCCAGGGTTAAAAAGGTTTCCCTAAAGGTTTTAGAATAGAGATTATTTTGAATATTTTCTCATCTCCGTTTCTGTGTATTCAATCATTCATTCGATAGTTATTTAACTAACAAAAAAAATGACACACCAAGGCAGCCTCATAAGACAATCACTGACTCTGCCAAGTGACAAAAGAGGGTTGGGTGGTACAGAGGAGCCACAGCTCCAAGAAATCAGAGCAATTGCAAATTCAGCTACTCATTGCTTTGAATCCAGATCTGCTCCCTCGCTGAAGTATGAAATTCCATCAGAATAATTAATGCTTTTCCCCATAGACTCTCGTCACTCTGTGACTCCCAATCTGCTCTGTCAAAATCCTCCTGGTCCCTCACCTTCTTGCCTTGGAGGCCTCTTCCCAGCTGGAGCTAATCCCAGTCCCCCACCCTCCCTCATAGATTTTAGCACTGTCACTTTTGATTTGCGTTATTTACGGGAGTCTGGCTGCCGCTGGGATCCTGAGCTCTCATGCTGGATTGTGGGGGGAACTTGCCCGTCCTGTGGCCCGGCGGGTCCTGGAGCCCTTCTGAGCTGAGGGACTTAGGCTACTGGATTCCCTTGCTGTTGGCAGAGACTGTAACACGTGCTCACTCCCCCAAGACCTCTTTCTGGAGCTTTCTCCCATGTTTTCTACCCTGCAGCCCCAGGCCAGGGCCGCTGATCCAGGGCTTTGCTTCCCAAGCTGCTAATCACAGCCCCTCCTGGCCCACCTGTCCAGGCCTGGCGTCCCTGCTCCCTGCGCTGACATGTCCTCTGCTGCTTACTTCTGCTCATCTTTTCATGCCTGGTTCAAGAGGCTTCCCCCACTTTAGGCAGAAATACCTCTTTCTTCTTTCCTTCCTTTCTTTTTTGTAGGATACCTGGGATTGAACTCAGGTGCATGTGGCCACTGAGCCATATCCCCAGCCCTATTTTGCATTTTATTTAGAGACAGC